AAAGGAACACCTTCCACAAATGTAAGGATGTGGTCCACAGATTGCCCATACCTTAGCCTTTATATACTTAACAAATGACCCTGACCCACAATCTGAAAAGACAGTAACTGGTTGCTGCCCAATATATTTTTCTTCCTTGTTATCAGCCCTTCAGTCATAAAGAGGATTTCTGTTTTCTCCCTACAAGCAAAAAATGTTGGTTGCTCAGATGTGCTTTACATAGCAGAAAGCTGAGGCTCCTGGAAAATACTGTAGTAAGAAAATGGGAGGAAATATTTCCCTTGCTTTAAGTCATATTGGAGGGGAACACAAATGGGCAACTTCATCGTGAGGCACTAAAATATATAATGCCTGCTTGGTGGCAGAGGATTGTGGGAAGCATAGTTCTATTCCCAACATCTGGAGGGGGGCCAGATTACCGGTTCTTAGATTGCACTCCAAAACCGCCACATGCAAATCATGTTTTGAATGCTCCGTTGTTGTCCATGAGCACTACTCTCTAGAGCAGGATGACCAGTGGGGCTTATTCATCCAGCTTCTGCAAACCAGTTTTGTTTTGCCTTGATTTCTCTGGGGATATTATGTATGAATCTGGCTGTCTTGGCCCAGTGTAAACTATTTGCCTGGGGTTGAATTGTATCCTCAGGCTATTAACAATAGAAAGCTTCTTTCAAGCTCTTACGTAGGTGTGTGTGTGTGTGTGTGTGTGTGTAGTTTGCCTTTCCTGACTGCTCTCTATAGAGCCATCAGAGTGAAACCAAAGCTGAACCACCCACTTTTGGCTGGGGGTGGTGGTGGAAGGCATGCTTTTCATCAGGATTCACAGAGAGGGTAATGCAAAACACACTGAAGAGGCTCTAAATGTGGATATATGTGTGTTGTGGAGGGGAAGGGAAGGGAAGGGAAGAAGAGTATCTGATGGTCCAATATCCATTTGTCTGCTGGCAGAGAGTGCCAGCTCTAGTTAGTTCTGATTTTTGTTCAACACTTAACAAAAGTGGAATCTCTTGTTCTTCAAGGATGCGATATAAACCCAAAGAAAATATCACTGAACTCGAAGATGGCACTGTGTCTTACCTCCAGCCAAATATTATTATTTTTCAACCTGATATGTCAGTTGGGTCGGAAAATGACACTATCACCACTGTCAACCTTGCTGTTGTGGTAAGGAAGTCCTCCAATAAAATTTATATCATCTGCATAGTAAGTTATAATAAATCAGTAAAAGATTGAATTTGGGTATTGTCAGTATTGTGGAATGACTTTTATCCGTTCTTTCAATGTTGTGGATGAACGAAATAGACTTTTCAGTTGAAGCAACCTACTAAATTGGTCCATTTGGCACCAACAAACTCACTTGCTTTGTTCCACAAGCTTTCTGTCATTGTATTAACCTGGTCATGCTTTTTAGCTTCAGCATCTTTTCCATTTAAATCTTTGGAGAGAGAGGAGGTTTCTCAAATCCCTTCCCCATTCTATACTTGGCTACTTTGATGAGATGACTAATAAGGGTACCAATTATTACTGCTTGGTAGAATCTCTAGAGGCATCCAGACCTACAGAGATTGTGAGTTTTCAGTAAAGCATATTGCCCAAACCTCTTGGTGTTTTGTGTGCAGAATGATTTAGCCTTTGTTTGTATTCAGTTCTTGAAGCAATGCTACTTAAATACGTATATGCATTATATATATGCATATACTATCTCAGAAATATGGTATCAGACTTAGTCTAGTTAAGTCTATTTTTAGGGGTGGATGAATTAAAATGACATTGTTACTTCTAAGAACTCTGACACTGGAAAATGTGTTACATCTAAAATCCTAACATTTAATTATTTCCCCTCCTGATGTCCCAGCTGATTTTTGACTTTTTAGCTGATGGTGAGGGATGCTGGGAGATGTAGATCAGCAAAACCTGGAAATCCATATATTTCTAATTCTTACTGTGTCATTTCTCTGTCTTAACTTTTCATCAAAAGGAGTCATCATCTACCAGTAAATCTGGTATTACTCTTTTGTTGTTCTCTTCCCCATCCTCTGATTTTGGACCTGACATTATTTTTTTTCCCGAAGCTTTAAAACTAATTTTATCTCCTGTATCCTACAGAAGAAATGGTTAGGACTGTCTGCCTGCTATAATGGTGAAGATACACATTCACTACAAACCTATTAATTATTTCACTGTGCTGCATGTCTCATTATACTGATAAGATCTAAATCTTCAGCATGCGCTAAGGTTCAAAACTTTCAGATATTCTGTGATCTGATCACATATAAGACTGAATTCAAGCCTGTTATGAAAGCTTTTGGTTGGTTTGCATCCCAGTGTCAAAAGTTTAATTTATAGACATATTTGTATTTGCTGTAGGCGGCACCTGCTTTGTTTACAAGTGGACTTGTTCAAGCCTTGATGGACATTTGGATGAAATCATCAAAATCGTATTTCCTCCAAACTAGAACTGTGAAAGAAATACTTTGGGGATATGAAGATCCTTTCTTGAAAAAAATTCCAATGGTAAAAGTTAATACAGTTGTCGGAGTGTTCTATCCCGTAAGTATGCATTCAAAGGGAAAATTAATTGCTTGGGGTGTGATTCTAGGAAAGGGTGAATGCTGCTATAATAAATGCATCCTTAAAATTCAGACAGTTCGAAACATTAAAATTAGGATAGCCTTTGGCATGTATTAAGATGACTTATCAAAATTCAACAGACTTTTATTCTATGTAGAGAAGTGTTGCTGTTAGCAATCTCCTCCATCAGATGTTAGAAACGAAGGTCATAGTAACAAATGGGATTTTGATAAGGGTATAAAGTAGTTTCCTTATCTTGTTTCCCTTCATCAGGTGATAGCACCAATCTGACTATGGCTGATCTGGAAAGCTAAGCAGGGTCAGTCCTGGATAATAGTTGGATGGGGAAAACGACTGGGAAGATCTACTTTATAGGCAAAAAATAATTTCAAAGAAGGTGATAAAATGCACCGATGTCTCCGTATAAGTCACCAGCTTGACTCCAAGGTGATTTGACTATCTCACTTCACAGCAGAGAAGTGAGACATGGCCCCAAATTATTTTTCGACTGCACAAATTTCTTTCACAGGTGTTCAGAATTTTTTTCTATTTTTTTCCCCTTGGGAACTTGGACATCTGAATTAACTAGCATTGTCTCGGAAGTGGAAAGATTGGCTTTGGAATCTTCCTTTTTCGTACAACTGATTGTTTTGGCATTTTGTATACATTTTGAATTCATCCTAATCCATAATTATATACATGCCTATGTTGGAAATGCCTCCGAGAGTGCTATGGCTGTGGTTGCATCATGAGCAGGAAGGGAGATATTTTAATAATGTTTTTGTCAACGTGCATGAAAAAATGGGAGGGTGGGGTAAGAACTTAAAGCTGTGGCAAACTTTGCATGATCAACATCCAGAATATAAGGTTAGAAATTCTAATTATTCTAAAAATGACAAAGCTAGTCCAAAGGCAGGAGGAAAGAAAATGGAATAATCATGTAGGAGGAGGAAGATGTACCATTAATGTTCGTAAAGTATTTGCCTCCTTGTCATAGAACAGAAGTTAAAATAATGGTCATTTCCTTATCTTATAATGTTGAGGTTACTGAGGATTTATTTTAAATTGGGTTGGGTTATTTTTAAAAGACATGAATGCTTGGTCTAAAGCTGATTCAGGGCATCTTCATATATATATTTTTTCCCTTAACTGTGACTATTTCCTTATTTCAGTTTTTAGCAAAACCACATTTCAAACACAAAGATCTCCATGTCTTAGGTACAAGAAAAAAACAGTTGCCTGTTAAAAAATTTTTTTTAAAAGATGGTTGACATAACTTAGGTTTTGTCGAGTAGCCTTGAACAGACTTTTAAATAGTAAAGAGTTCATCTTGACGATCAAGCGTATTTGCATCAAAAATTAATTTTCTGTTCTCTGTCTTTATGTCATTCAAGTACAATGAAACATATGATGGCCCTTACAGAATTTACAGCGGGAAAGACGATATAAGCAAGAAAGGAATTATCCTCACTTATAATAATAGCAGGTATAATATACTTGGGAAGATATAGATTTTTTTTCCCCAGAAATTGCAATATTTTAGTTTAGCAATCAGTTCTGTTTTGTGAACTCTTACAGCACTTGCTTTCTATATAGATAAGATTCTCCAGTGCAGCAGCAGAATATTCAGTCATAGGAAGGTGTGTTGGTTGTATTCACATTGTACTGAAGACCAATGAATTCTGTGGTGGTTATCACTAGATTTGGGGTTTGAATTGTTGCCATTTAATTTCAAATCCTTGCATTATCATAAGGCAAATGTAGATAGCTTTGGGCAAGTGCCTATTACTCAGCTTGGTCTCCCTTGGGCAGAGTGATAGCACAGAGAAGATAAAGGTTGATCCTCATGGATCAGGAGCATTATATGACAATTGTTAGGGTCTTGCATAAAATAACTCTTGTCACCACAAGGCCAATCATAAGAAGATGGTCTTTCGCTTGAGCCCTAGAGTCAAGTCCTTAGCATAAATCAGTGAATATTCCATTTTAGAAGAGCTCATGTGACATCCCAACATAAGAGATGTGGGCAGATTAGTGTTCCTTTTATTAGAGCTGGAAGCCCATCCAAACCCATTTGGGCAGATCCAAGTGGATTTGGATGGGCTTTCAGTTCTAGTAAAAGTAAGACAGGGTGACCAAGTTCACATGGCACAGCGGACGTGACCATATTCCTATCATTAACTGACTCACTCCCATCTGCCAGTCTCGACATTGATGGCTGAGTCAGCCAGGAACAACCCATTTTCTAAGACAGGTTGGGAGGCTATAACTTCCTGATGTCTTTCCTCCAAATGCTGTAGGGAGGGGGAATAATTAAAAATCCACAGTGATGCAATCAGCGTTGACACTCCTTTGGACAGAGTTGGTGAACTCTACCACCCTCATCCCTTCATTTTCATTTTCTCTCCCCTCCCTGCATGAGTATAGGGAGGAAAGAAAAAGTGGGAAGAGATGGAGTTCCAGCCCAATTTTTCTAAAGCCTTTTTAGAACCTCATCTAGGGGCAGAATAGCTAACTGGGGGAAATTAATTTAGCCTAAAAGAGACTAGGGGTGTTTGGGGCTAACATGAATGTCCTGTGGATATTAGTTTTTGGAGTTAAGTGACCTGGTTTGAGCCTTCTTCCAATACCAACACCTTCTTTTCCTGTTTGATCCACCTGAGAGAGTCATGTGGAGACTCGCCAATGAGCCAATGAGATTTCAATGGGTTTTATATAAATACTACCCTATTGCTTTTTCACACCTACCCTAGGAAAAGAGGATGCTGTTTGTTACTTTGCACACTACTTTATAAACACTCCTCCTATCCTAACATAAATTCTCATACCTTTTTCAATTCCTTCTTGTGGGGAATATGGTTACAAGAAACCTGGAGAATAGAATATCTACTCTGCCCCTGAATTTGTTTCATTTCCACACTTTCCTTAGATTCAGAAGACAATTGTTTAGCTAGGAAAACTGCCTGACATCATCTGAGCTGCATATTATTTTTCTTTTTTAAAGGACCCTTACATACTGGAAAAGTTATTGTGGTATGGTGAATGGCACTGGTAAGTGTGTAAATAGAACATAACTGAATTTCTATTCCTGTGCAGAACACACACACATATTTTGGCATCCATTAAAGTATGCAAGGTTGGAACTGAAATTGAGTTGGAAAGATCCCAAAGAAAAGGAAATGAGAGAGAGAGCGAGAGAGCGCAACATTTGGGGGTGACTGAGGAGATGTCTGCAATGGAGGAAAATGCTGTGATTTGTGTCAGATCTTGGGGTATAAGCATATACAGATGGGATTTTTTTAATGACATCACCATGCAAATGTCTTCATTTGGTGTCATCATGGCTTGCGGCAGATGCACGAGGCACACACAATAGGGTTTTTTGGATGAAGAGCAATGACTTCCATGAGTGGTGTGATAAGGCAAAAAGGTTAGAGACATAACATGTATGTGAACAGTGCTAAGCTGTTCACTGCTAGTATGTTGCTTTGACAGCTGTTGTTTCCTACCTCAACACACCAAGAAAACAATGAAACGGCTTCTGCTCTTTGCTCCATCAAAGGTGAGTGTTGAGGCTAGAAGACACTTTGAAGTTTGGGAAAAAAAGAAAGATGGATAGATTTCAGGGGCCCGTTCCCAAGTTCGAACTAGAAAATAAAGTTCCATTTGTTAGAAAAAAATTGGTTGCAGTTGCTACACTAAAAATTAAGTGGCATGCTTGGAGGAATAGGTTTGAAAAGAAAAGAAGGAAAGAGAGATTAATTTCAGAGTCCAGTTCAAAACTATCCCTCCAATCATGCCATTTAAGTGGGAGATCATGAGTTCAAGTCTGCCCTTTGGCACAAAATCAGTGGGGTGACATTGGCCCCTTCTCTCTCTCTCTCTCTCTCTCTCTCTCTCTCTCTCTCTCTCTCTCTCAGTCCTAGGAAAAACATGGCAGCAAACCATGTTGGAAATTGCATGGACTTGTCTATGTAGTCTCCAGTAACCAGCAATGACTCAAGGGACCATAACAACAATTAAGAGCTTGCTATCCCACCTCTCAGATATTTGAGTTAGCTTTGCAAAGTCTTGAGAGATGGAATCATGATTTCACCAAGGATTCAATAAATAGGGGTCATTCTTTAAATGGTAATCTGACCCCCAGGTAGCTTACTTCCTTCTCTGACGTGGAGTCCATAATCCTGGGCAAGTTTCTATGTCATGGCTACTGCTTGATAAATGGTCTTCCAGGTTGCAACTATTTATAAGTCAAAATTTGCCTTGCAAGTCTTAGGTCTGTAAACTCCAGAAAAGTGTTACCTGGATATTGTAAGAAGGAGAAGAAATGCATTATTTTCTTTAGTTCTGGAAGGCCTGCCTTAGCCTCTGTTAATCCAGTAGGTAGAACTGAAGAGCTGAGCTCGATGAACAGGAGCCACAGTCAGACCCAGCCTGAGTTGTTAAGGCACACTTTCAATTCAGATGCAAGTTTTTGGTATGAGCTGGGAGGTTCACAATTCACAGGATGTTCTCATTTTTACTCACAGATGGGTCATCGTTCCCCCCTTTTGTCAGCAAGGATCAAATATTGAGATTCTTTTCCTCAGATATTTGCAGGTAAAAGATCTTGAGTAACTGGTTTCATTCCTTTGATATGGAGATAATAGAATTTTGAATATCAGCAACATTCAACCAGCAGGACTTTTGGGTTAGATTAAGCGGGACTGCTTAATTTTACCACAGAGATTGGCAGCTTCTCTATTAAAATGTCACTCAAAATCCAGTTTACCCCCCAAAGTGTTAACATGCAGAGACCTTAACCACTTCAATACTGTTCCCATTATACTGGAAACCAATTGGGGTTCCATGCAAAACCCTAGATTTCAAGGCTTTCTGAGAGTACGGTGTTAGTAGTCTTTGTTTTTAATATGGCTTTTTACATATTAAACATACATCCCAAACATAATGATTGGCTCTGCTTCTGCCTTGGTGAGATGCCAGTCAATCCTACCTCACCAAAGTGTCACGGGGAGGCTCATCTGATTGAGGATCCCCTCATTTTGATAAAGGAATGAGATCAGCGATGTGTAGATGATCAACTCATGCTTGAGAAATGTGATTGATGATGTCAAGATCGGGGGATCTTGTTCAACATGGTGTATGATCCTTCATAGGTGGTGCTTCATATTACTTTTATTGTACAGGTCAGTCTATGGAACATTTGATAATGAGCAGACAGTGAAAGACATCCTGCTTTATCGCTTCATTATCCCACCTTCAGCTTTTGCTTCACCCCTTACTAATCCTGATAATATCTGCTACTGCACCGACAAGGAGATAAGCGAGAACTGTACAATAAGTGGAATAATGGATATCAGCTCCTGCAAACAAGGTAACAGAGGAAAAATGGGAGGGTTCGGTAGGCTTAATTGAAGCTGAAATTGTATCAAAACCTTGAATCTTGGCTGTACCATTTGTGACTTTTGGCTACATCAAAATTAGAGTTTGACGTTTTTTGATGGCATATTCAGTCAGTTGTCTCCTATAACCTTTTGTTTATATCCACACCCATTTTGACCAACCTGGCCACATGTAGAACATCAGAGCTGATACAAAGGAGAAGAATGTATTTAATAGGAATCTTTCAGCTATGAAATAGTGTCTTGCAAACAATGGTATCTACTGCCCCAGGGTGGCCCAAGAGACAGGATGGTTGCCAGTCCTATTTGTGTAGCCTGGCCCTCCTTCACCCATGCTCAGCCCACAGCTTTTACTCCTGTTAACATTCATTCCCTGCCATCATGAGATAGCTATAGTGGGAGAAAAGCTCCTTGCAACCCGATTGCCCATGAATATTTGCACCATAAATCTGTGTGGGTTAGTGTAATTGACAGGGAAGAGTGAGACCTAGCAATTTGATTTCAATAACATTAATTAACATTGGAATTTTATGTATTCAATGATTTTTACAATTCATGGGGGCATTGTGCATCGCTGTACTAAAGCCAGATTGTAATCCCTCCTGAACTTAATTGGGTCATTGGTATCACACAATGGACCTACAATGGACCCATGGAACCAATTAGAAAATAAGGTCTGAGCAATTTTATAAATTCTTTTGAAGTTTTGATTTGGATCATGTCCAATCTGCATAGCATACTAGGGGAATTACTTGGGGAATACGTTCACCAAGAGGCCTGCTGTCGTCCCAAAGACAGAACGTCTCCTTTCTTCCATTCAGCTTCACTAGCAGAATGGAACTGTATGACCTGAATTGTAAGCCGGCTTCATTTCCCTTTTATTTCTATAGGTAAACCAGTCTACATCACGTTGCCCCATTTCCTGTATGGGAGTAAACAACTTTTTAAAAACATTGAAGGAATGAAGCCAAATGTGGAAGAGCATAAAATCTTTCTGGAGGTGGAACCGGTAAGTGTCTACACGTGGTACCAGCTCCACGATCACGGATTTGATATGAATCAAATCCATATGCAGGTTGTCTCTGTCATAGAATGTGACCCTTGGAGTGAATTTTTGGGTTCCTGCACCAAAGTGAAAAGCTTTCTCCTAGTTTGTTGTCCAGAGATTGGATAAAGAATTTCAAGAGCCTGTCAGCCTGTACTTTAAGGAGGGTTTGGTGTGGTTTTTTCCTCTCCTTATTCTAAGCACATTTAAAAAGTTAACATTAACATTGAAAGCAAACATACATCTCAAATTTGATGAATTTCATCCAGTTTAAAGTAATTGCAAGCAAGTCACTGAAATAAAATTGTAGTTAAAACTTGTGTTTTTTTAAAAAAATATTTATTGGAATTCTCCCCCGCCCACCTCCCCCACAATAGGGGACTCTGGGCGACTTACAAAAAACATTAAA